GAAAAACAAAATGTGGTTCACCAGTGTACATACAATGGACTATTATTCAGCCTTGAAAAGGAAGAGAATTCTGACACTTGCTGCAACGTCGATGAACCTGAACCGTGAAAACATTTTGCAAAATGAAATGTCAGTCACGAAAGACAGTTACTTTTGTGATTCCACTTCTATGAAATGCCTAGAGTAGTAAACTCATAGAGTTAGAAAGTAGAATGGTGGATGCCAGGGGCTGGGGTGATAGGAGTTATTGTTTAATGAGTGCAGTTTCAGTTTTGCAAGATGCAAAGAGTTCTGGAGGTTGGTTACACAATAATATGAATGAACTTCACACTGATGAATTGTATGCAGTTTAGTAAGATGGTCCCTAACTTACAATGGTTCAACTTAACAAGTTTTCAGTTTTAAGATGGTACCCATACAACCATACTGTTCTTCCCATTCAGTACAGTATTCAATAAATTACATGAGATATTCAGCACTTTACTATAAAACAGTCTTTATGGTAGGGGATGTTGTGCAACTGTAGGCTAACGTAAGTGCTCTGAGCACACTGAAGCTATGATGTTTGGTGGGTTAGGTGTATAAAATGCATTTTTAACTTAATATTTTCAACTTACAATGAGTTTATTGAGGCATAGGTGGTAAATTTTGTATAATGTATATTTTACCACAATTAAACACAACATAATGACTTTGGATCAAGATGGCAGAATCAATCACTCTCACAATCAACCAATTTACAATTATTAAAAAGCAATTACTGCCAAGTTGGGGGCTCTAGAGCTCAGGGGAAAAGGAGAGATCTACGGAGTTCATGAAGGCAGGAAAAGCCACGATAAGAGAAAGAAAGGACCATTCCGACCATTTCAAGCCCCAACCACTTCAAGGCTGGCCGTGATGAGTACAGAGAGAAAAAGAAAAAACCCACAGATCGAACTAAAAAAAGTACAGATCAAAGAAAGAAAAAAACCCACAGATCAAAGTTTTGGTATTAACCAGGAAAGGTCTAACACCACCAAAGAACACCTATAAAACCTAGAAGGACTGGAAGCCCCCCAGGCTTTCAAGCCAGGGTGGGGGTGAGGGGGCCGAGGGCCTCAGCCACACCCCACCTTCTGCATCCAGCCCAGCCTTGACCACCAAGCCTCTGCTGGAAGCCTCCTGGGTTCCCCTGACCGAATAGGGGCAAAGGGGGTGCCATGGGCCTCAACCACGCCACCCCCTTCCTCCTCCTCCACCCCCTATGCCCCTCTACCCTCCCCTTTTCCCCTCCCCCCAACTGCTGTGCAACACCTTAGAATGTAAAAAGAAATAACAACAAATAAATTTTTTAAAAAATCATAGTGACAGGGCTGAGCCCGTGGCGAACTCGGGAGAGTGCGGCGCTGGGAGTGCAGCAGCGCTCCTGCCGCGGGTTCGGATCCTATATAGGGATGACCGGTTCGCTCACAGTGCTCACTGGCTGAGCTCGGTACGACCGGTCTCAAAAAGGACACGGCGCTGGGAGTGCAGCAGCGCTCCTGCCGCGGGTTTGGATCCTATATAGGGATGACCGGTTCAAGTTCGCTCACAGTGCTCACTGGCTGAGCTCGGTGCGACCGGTCTCAAAAAGGACAAAAAAAACCCAAAAAAACATAGTGACAATAACAACAAAAAGGCACTGTGATTATACAGAGATTAGACTGGAAGAGGAAAGACTAGAGACCAGAGATCAGATAGAAGCTGCTGAAGTCACTGAGGCAGGAGGGAATGATTATCTGACCTGGGCAAGTGGTGATGGGAGTGAAAGCGTGAACGCAGGAGAGGTGAGGTGGGGGACTGCAGCGAGGGTGCTGCTGTGGTCAGAGGGGCAGAAAGGGATTGATGCTGCCATTTGCAAGATGGGATAAGCAGGAGAAGCAGGAGGTGGGAGACAATGGTGAGTTCCGTAGCATTATATTATATATATTATATATATACATATAAATTTTGTATGCTCTGTTATTTTTACCCAGTATCCAATATCATGGGATGCCAGGAAACAGAGGGAGGAATATGTCTAAAGAATTGGCTGTAGGGCCATGAAAATGTAGAAAAGGTCCAAGATATGGCTATGGATGCTTAGAATTAAAATAGAGTATAAAATATACTTTAAAAATAAACATGAAGAATTAAAAAATGATAGTATTGGGGACTTGTCTCTCACTCCTCATTTTGCAGGATATTACTTGTTTTAAAGCATCCTCTGTAGTCTCACTTAGAACTCAGTTCAAAATACCTTCTTTCTCACCAGCAAACATATAATTTTTACAACAAAAGCTTCTAGTGTATAAGGACATCTTGTCCATTCTTTGCAATGTGTTAGAAATAGACACACTCAGTATTTATATGATGATGAAGTTACATTCTAGATCCTATTCATTTTTTCATTTCTATTAGTTCCATTTTATTAATTGCAATGATTTTCAATTCTGCTATCAAAAGCAAGTCAACTTTATTCTGATTATAACTAGATGTTTTAAACTATCATCTTGATTACAAATGAATGAATTGCATGCTGCCGTTGGAGATATTTTGCATATTATAAAGAAAGGAGTAAAAATAGGTCTGATAATAGAAAATAGAATGGTAGGATTTATACATAAAAACCAAGACTATAGTTACCACATTTGGTTATTGTTAAGTTATACACAATCTCACAATCTTCAGTAGTTTCCTGTCAAGATAGGAACTTTATATGGTAGAGCCCGAAAAATATTTGCATATGACATTTAACTATAAAGCATTGAGACTGTTTTTAAATAAATATAAGGGCATTGGTATGAAAATAGCATTGTTCTCTTTCCAAGTTGTGATAAAAGGTCATAAAATTACTCCTGTTAAGTCACAGTTCAAACATTTTTGAATGATCAGCTTTTTAAAATTCTAACTCATATTATCCTGGGTACCAATGCATCCTAGGTGAGCATCTTTCCTATTTATGATTTTCCTGGAGTTGTCACCACCTGTAATCCATGGCTTGGCTGTGGCTGTGAGGCTTGACATTTAGTTAGTTGGAAGTAGTCACTGATATGTTGCAATAGTTTTAAAACATTCTACCTTTAGCCCCTGAAGTTTTCATTGTTCTTTGTGATTGGTTCTTTCATTTTGTACACTAAATGACATTAACATATGAAATTTGCAGAATTGCTGCAAGGTCTTCTTCTTACCCAAAGTCACCTTTCAGAGTTTGCCAAGTGCGCATCATGGGATTGGATAAAGCCAACACTACAGCATCTCTTGGTAGCACTGGAGCACTGGAGCACCCTTTCCAAAGGAAAAAGCCAGCATGTCACCAACCGCTTGCCATGGCAGTCAGAGCTATCAAGGGCTTTGGGGGACAGGGTAGGATGCAGGATAGGCCAACAGGTCTATGATCCAACTTCCCAGAACTCCTTCGGTGACTTTCTGACTCACAACTTGGGAAGAATCAGGAGAAATCACTTGCCAAATTGAGCAGAACAGCTATTTCCTGCTTACCCATTTTTGGTGGCACATCTCATTTCTTCTTTAGATGTTTGGATATGCAAAGGAATAGAAATACCATCAGGAAAAGTTTTTTCATTGTAGGAAGAAAATCCCTCATATTCAGAGAAGATAGTGTCTTGGTTTCTTTATTCTGTGTTATTAAAGACGATTAACAGAAGAATAAGCCTTTATCTTACGTCCAAAGTTAACAACTATTAATTTACTTGGGTCACTAAACAGCTCTCTCAGTCTAAGAGAAAACTATGTCAGAACAAGAGTAATGAACAAAGCATTTGACATGTGTCAGGCACTGTTCTAAATGCTTTTTACAGATTTCGTCATTTATTTCTCACAACTCTATGAGGTAGGTACCAATATCCCCATTTTAAAATAAGGAAACTGAGGCACAGAGAGGTTAGGTTAAGTAACATGCCCAAGTCATCCAGCTAGTATGTGGCAGAGTCAGGATTTAAACCCAGGCAGTGGGGTCCGAACTCTGAACTGTTATCCGCCATGCCACACTTGAATGATTACAGCAGAAAGAAAACGTCTCACTTTCCATTGGCAACAGGTCACACTCATTCTCTTAGTACAGCAAAGTGTAGTCTTCACCTAATTCTCCAATGTAAAATGTGGGGAATTAAAAAACACACAGAGCCTGAAAACCCATTTACTTTTATGATGGTTCTAAGCAAAGAAAATGTTTTCTGGGTTTAAACAAATCAAATTCATAAACTATTCTCTCTTGTGGAAACTAGCTGGTGGTCTCTATTTACAATATCTTTTCTTTATCATGAAAACATGGCAATGGAGCTGTGTAAAGACTTTTTTTTTTTTTTTTTTTTTGGAAAGGGAATTAAGTCAAAGGTGAAACATATCCCCACAGTTAGCTGAGAAAGAAATAGGGAGAAATCTGAGAAGAGCATGGTGGGAATGTTTCCACAATTCTCATATTTAACCATGAAATTAAAATTAGATATAAGGCTAGATTTTCCAGGTCATAAGCAGGTCAGGCAGCATGCTCCAAAGAGTTCACATACTCCTCTTTCTACTCCTTTTAAAATTCCACCACCTGCAAGGACCTGAGAAATAGGACCGCTGACTGAACTGCTCATATATTAAATAATGAGTAGGAAGAGTTAAGAGTTGACTCAGAAGAAGAACCGGAAACATGGTAAATGTGGCTAAGGGCATTACAAAGTTTGCAAGTGAAAAAACCAAATCTCTAAAACCTGATGATGTTGCTAACCTCCAGTGAATTATTTGAGTTTTTCATTTTTTCCATTTACTGAGAGTTCCATCCAGATGTTGCAGCCTCAAGTAGCTAGTAGAAAATTTTTGAAATCTCTAAAACCTGATGATGTTGCTAACCTCCAGTGAATTATTTGAGTTTTTCATTTTTTTCCATTTACTGAGAGTTCCATCCAGATGTTGCAGCCTCAAGTAGCTAGTAGAAAATTTTTTTTAACAGTAATTGAAAAAGTAAACATTTAAACTGTTAAGACACAGATATATAAGTATATTTATAATGTAATGTTTATTAAGCTTACTTGAAAACAAGATTATTTTATTTTAAATTACTCCATTTCAATGAATGAATGAAATGGTCCACAGTAAAACAAAAGTGGTATTTCCAAGAATATTACATTATTATCTCTAGTTCTGTATTCATTTTCACCCTTCATCACTTGTCTTTACCACCATAACCAATGCAGAGTTGTTCACAATAAAGTTTTGACCCAATCTGAACTATGGAGGTGCAGACCAGAGTGAGATAAACTCAAAACAAGCAAACCAACACCAGTAGCCAGAGAAAGTGTTTGCCTTGATATTTACATACCATACTTACAAAAGTAAAGCCAATTGGTCATTATGTACATGCTTTAGTGAATATTAGTATTTGACATTTACATATATGCATATGTAATCAAGTAAAAAGATAAACTTTAAATAATTTTTAACTGTGAAGAATACAAAAAATGTGACTGATATATACTTTAATTCGAGTGCTTGTTCAATATTCAGTGCTTAAAAATATCTGGAAAAATAATATCAAAATATACTCTGGTGGAAGATATCAAAAGTGAAAGAGATAAGGAAATAGTAAGTGTTCCATGTGATTTTAGTAAGTAGGGGAGGTGAGCAGAAAGGTCTATGGCGAGGGTGGGGAAGTGGGGGAATCACATAGCATAAGCCAGATGCAGAATCAGAAATGAAAGGCATAGTTTTTCCCGCGGCCAATTTCACTCGAAATTGACATACTCAAGGAACTTTCAGGACAATGTGAATGAATTTAAGTTTTGATGATAAATGCAACTATTAGTAGATGGAAAATTGACTTTCTCCTTTAGTTTTCACCAGGAGGCATGCCTTGGGACACTTAGGCTACAGTCAGATACAACATCAGTTCCTTATTCGGCTTCCATTAAGAGGGTAAGAGTGCCCTGTGTCACATAAGGGCCTCCCACAGCTTCAGTAGGACTGTCTTTACACAAGGACCGTCGGATGGTATCAACCATCTCTGCAAGCACGAGCTGGGCTGGAATCTTGGAACCTCCCGTTTCTTCTTCCTCTGAAGACTGAGTTCCGTGAGGAGCTGGGAACCTCCCACCTCGGGCCAGCGGGCTAGTGGAGGCAGGGGCAGCAGAAGCAGCAGATGGCCCGGCAGGGGTTCTTCTTCTTGTACTGCTCGGCCTGGCGTATCTGCGCCTTGGCCTGGCCGGTGTATTCGCAGGTCTTCTGCACGTTCAATTCGATGACATTGAGCGTGTCGGCCTGCTCCTCCACCACGACGGCCATCTGCAGAAAGAGCTCGCGCACGTCGCGGATGCGGCCCTCGAGTCGCAGCAGCTCGCGGTGGCGGCTCTCAATCTCGTTGAGGGCCGCCCGCGCGCCCTTCACGTCAGCCAGCAAGTTCTCAGAGAACACGTCCCACTTGCCCTGCTCGAACATGTCCTCAATCTGGTCGCCCGAGACGTCCTTGCCCATGATCTCCAGCTGGCGCTGGATGCGGATCTTGCAGTTCTCGCGCTGTTTCATCTCGGCCTGGTTGTACTCGTGCATGGCGCGCTGGAACAGGCGTGTGAGTGCGTCGTACTGCGCGCGCGCGACGCGCGCCACCGCCGAGTGCGCCCCCTGCTGGGCCTCGGCTGCCTCGCTCTGCTCCTTCAGGGCGCGCAGCTTGCGCTGGATGCCCTCGCCCCGGGCCTTGATGGCCTTGGCGATGGAGTTGGTGTCGCGCTTGATGCTGCTCAGGCGCCGCATGGACGTGAGGAAGCGGGCGTTCTGCTTTCCCAACCGCTTCACGTCGACCGTCAGCAGCTGGTTTTCATCCTGAATGTCCTGGATGTCTCGGTACAGTGACTCCAGGATGTGGTCCGTCTCGAACACGATGTCCTCGTGGGGGTAGTCAAAGTCATCGTTCCCGTCTGGGAACTGCTGGTCATAGTGCTTGGACAACTCCAGAAGTTCTGCTAGCCGGTCCTTCATTTTGCCTGCAAGAGAGATACTGAGGTTAAATTCCTCCAGCGAGAGTCAAATATTTGCATGCAGGGGATTGAAGTTTAGAATAAACATTTTTTGATCAGCATTTGGATCGGCATTCCTAGTTCTTTATTTTTGGATGTAGGTAATAAGTGCACTAAAGGAGCTAAAATGTTCTATGACATTTTACTGACAAGTAAATAAGTAATAAGACTGAGAAAAGGCAAAAACACAGTTGTGTTTTATAGCCTATAGGCATCTGCAGTTCAATATAACAGTCGCCCCGAAAATGTTCTATGACATTTTACTGACAAGTAAATAAGTAATAAGACTGAGAAAAGGCAAAAAAAACACAGTTGTGTTTTATAGCCTATAGGCATCTGCAGTTCAATATAACAGTCGCCCCAAAATCAATCAGAAATCTAAAATTTTAGATTGGGAAACAATTTGTTTCTTGCTTTATGTTTTCCAATCATCGCAAGAAAAGAAAAAGGCAAAATAAGAAGAAAAAGACTTCTAAACATAAAGATTTTTAAATAAGGAAAGTCAACTTACAAAGTCAATTTGGGCCAAAACTAAATGTTGCCTACTTTCAGCCCTGGTGAGCATCCCGGCCTGTACATAATACGACTTTTAGAATTGTTACAGTAACATATAAATCATGGTTTAAATTTTTTTCTCTTCAAAAAGTTGTAAAAGTAAAACATACTTCAAGAAAAATAACAATGACAAAATAAAACAAAAACAGAAATCTAATAAAGAAGTATAAAATTTGGAAGTTGAGATTTTCCTTACTCTTCTCCCCAATATCATTCCCAATATCAAAGCATCGTTATCAAAACTGCTTTTTAAAGAACTTTCATATGGAAAATTTCAATTATACGCTGCCTAGTATCAATAATATAACACACTCTCACCCATCAAAGCAGCAATATTTACCCATGTTTAATAGCTTTTTGAAATAAGTTGGCAGTTCAAGCAGAATTTCCATGTTTTTATAAAGGTGGTTCTGATAATTTCCTTGCTTTGCAAGGCAAAATAATGTTCTCTATGTCCATATTTTTTCCAGTGAAGTGAAAAACTTTCATTTTTAGTAGCATGTACATTTGCCAAAATAGGGAATATTTTACCCTTATACACAAGATTTTGTGGCTAGAAAGATTCTCTTTCTACTATATAATTTGCAGAAAAGAGGAGGAAAGTAGAAGCACTTAATGGCTATACAATCTATCGAGGATCTTGATCTCAAATTAAAAGCTTCTTTCAGGTTGAAGTAATTAATTTTATAGCACCACTAATGGAATGCTGACAAGTTGGATTTAGTGACAAATGGAAAATAGTGAAATATTAGCCATGGCCTGTCAGCTACCATGATCATTATTTACATAAATTAAGCAGAAGTTTTATTCTATGATGGTTATTTTTAATATAAGTTATTCTGCTTAAAATGCCATTTCTGCTCTCTGGTGACTAAAATCAATACTGGACCTTTTCAACAATGGAGAAGGTGACTCCCCTAGCAGTATGACTGAGAAGTGGAAAAAAGACCCAGTCTGGACCAAAACTATGCCTTCCCCTGGCCTGAATTTCTTGATATTCAAATATTTCCTCACTTTGAAAAAAATTTAAAGACGAGAGAAATTGCAACTTATGGCAGATAATGGGTTATGATACTTAATACATATTTTTAAAAACTACCCAAAAAAACCACTTGCCCAAAGACAATGAAAAGGTAATGCATATAAGAAGAAATACAAATGACAGAGAACATAAAAGTAGCTAATATGCTTACTGTATGCCTGGTAATTTCTAGGCACCATCTTTAGTCTTCATACAGACTCCAGGAAGTAGACACTGACATTATCAAGGTATGAACATAGGGAGATTAAGGAATTTATCCAAGCTGCCAGTAAGTGAACATCAGACTCCTGAATAGCACCACTTAACCACTATGCTAAACTATCTCTAGCAAATGTATAAAAGTATAGTCATAAAGGACTTCACTATTAAACAAAGAAATAGAAATTAAACTTCTTAGATTGTTTCATTTTGTTTTTTGCCCACCGAGTTAGCAGGAATTTTTTTTTTTTTGTCTTTTTTCGTGTCCGGCAACGGATCGCAACCCTCGGTGTCGCGCCCGTACCGGACCGGGACCGGCAACGGGATCGCAACCCTCGGTGTCGCGCCCGCACCTCGCTCAGCCAGTGAGCAGGAACCGGTCTGTATGTGGGATCCGAACCCTCAGCGGGAGTGCCTCCGCGCTCCCAAGCGGCGCACTGTAGCAGTGCACCACTGGGCCGGCCCGATAGCAGGAATTTTTTAACAAATAATAATTTTTTTTAATGGATAAGGATTCTGGGAACTCTCAAAAAATGCTGATAGGAGGGTAAATTGACAGAACCCTTCTGGAGGACAGCTTTAGCAATATGTAAAGAAAGCTGTTCAAGTGTGCATTTCTTTTGACCTATGTACATTTATTCTAAAGGTATGTGCAAAGGTGTGTGAAGCTCACAGCTGTAAATATTTTCATCACCACACTGTTTTTACAGAGATTCAGAAACAATTTAAATGCACAATAATGAAGTACTGGCTGCTACATAAATCACAGAGTTTAGAAGCCTATCTAATATCTAATATCTAAACTCTCTTAGGTAGAAAAAGTAGGTAAAGAGAAAAAAATATGGGGCATTACACCACACACATATTCTGAAACAAAGACTTGAATAATACATCAAAATGTTAATAGTTTTCTCTGAGTTGTGGAATTATAGATGGTTTTAATTACTTCCCTGAGCTTTTCCGTATTTTTCAAAAATTTTATATATGTTGATTTCATAATTAAAACCCCACAAAAATATAAATCCTATTTGTTCAAAGTCTAACTTCTTAGCTTCTTCTTTAAGGTGCATGCATTACAATCCAGTTAACACCTTATGTTACCTGGGGAAAGTACATTAGCTAGCTAGCATGGAGTTGAGCTGTATCCATCTGCTTAAATTAATACCCAATGTATTCTACTATGCAACAGGTGGATGAAACGAAGTGGATTAACTTCGATGAATGAAGCAATTGAATGAAGGTGAGAGGTGCCTTCCTTGCATGTTGGCCAAGCCTTATGAGGCCCTACAATGGAAGGTAATGAGTGATTAAGGGACAGTGCCACACACCAGGACATTAGGGATCTGTTTGTAGGTATGCCACTAGTCCTAGACAGATCCTATGTTCTATATTCCTCCCTTAATGCCAAAAAAAGCTATTTGGGGAAATCATTTCAGTCACACTGTGAACAGCAAAGGCCAATTTAACCATATAGAAAGTGGTCTTGGAAGATGTTTGGGGACAGTCGTTTCTTCTCAAGACCTAACAACCATAAAGTCACAGGTCCTAAATCAGGTGACAGCCTAAGCTCATTTGAAGGCCTAAATCCATAATCTGGTAAGGAGAGAGAAAAAAGGGTACAGGGGAAGTAAAGATTCCCTATGGAGGTGTAGACAAGAAGGAGGCCTTCCTTCACCTTGCCCTTCTGTCCATCTTTCCTGATCCAGCCCAGCCCCAAATGAGTCGGTCCCACTGACCTAGCAAGTCTCCTAGGTCTCCTAGTTACGAGAGAGCAATCATCAGGAAAACTACAACATAAAGTCAACTAAAGAGGTTGCTATTTCTAAGAATGTAAAAAAGTTTAAAAATGTATCTCTTGCTGAAGTTATGCCAAAATATGAATATATAAGTGGGCACAAAAAGACAATCAAAATAAGTTACACACGCAGTAGCTTGATTCTGTACAATGAGATCCTTAAAAGGGAATATGGTAAATGAGAAAGAAAAATCAATTCCATTGACCTTTCTGTTTCACTGTGATAAATGATAATGTAATAAATTTTGGAAAATTGTATTCATGAATTGTGAAAATAAGTTTTGCTTTGATTCACATGGAGGTGAAGAATTCAAAAGAAAATTTACAACCAGCTACCAGAATCTGCTTCTGCTTTCTTTTTTTTTTTCCTTTTTGTCTTTTTTCGTGTCCGGCAACGGACCGCAACCCTCAGTGTCGCGCCCGTACCGGACCGGGACCGGCAACGGGATCGCAACCCTAGGTGCTGGGTCCGCCCCTCACTCAGCCAGTGAGTGGGAACCGGTCTGCATGTGGGATCCGAACCCTCGGCGGGAGCGCTTACGCGCTCCCAAGCTGCGCACTGTAGCAGTGCGCCACTGGGCCGGCCCGTGCTTTCTATTTTTTATTTATTTATTTTTTTTGTCTTTTTTCTTGACCGGCAACGGATCGCAACCCTCAGTGTCGCGCCCGTACCGGACCGGGACCGGCAACGGGATCGCAACCCTCGGTGTTGCTCCCGCCCCTCGCTCAGCCAGTGAGCGGCCGGTCTGTATGTGGGATCCGAACCCTCAGCGGGAGCGCTGCCGCGCTTCCCAAGCGGCGCACTGTAACAGTGCGCCACCGGGCCGGCCCCGGCCCGTGCTTTCTAATTTTCTTTTCAGGCATGCATATAATCTGTCCTGAAAACTAGATCCAACAGGGAAGGAAAGGAAAACTAGATCCAACAGGGAAGGAAGGAAGGCTTAAGCCTTCTTTCCTTGAGCAATAAAATTTTATGTTAGAGAAAACAAAAGAACAAAGAGGTGATGGTAGCTCCATGGCGCTCAGTGTTTGGGAGGCCATAGAATCATCTGGAGAGCTTCAAACATTACAGATGCCTGGGCCCCTAGAGTTTCTGATTCAGTAGGTCTAGGATGATTTGCTCCCAAATTTGTGACCCTTTCCATAGATATGGTGACAGCTTTTTAGTCATGAATATCATGCAGTTCTGGAGAATTTATAGTATCCAAGTTGGGGGCAGCCTCGATGAGCAGACAATTAATAGAGAAGGAAAGGGTAGCTACTGGCTTCTCTCCCCACCAGAAAGCTGGTGGCTTTCATATGCACTGCCTTCTGCCTCCTCAGGATGGAGGCTTGATAAGAAATCAAGGTCAACTGAGAACTCACTCTCAGTCAAGT